ACTCCGCAGCACCTACACGAGTTCAGGTCCCCCCCGCCCGGGGAACCCCCAGGTCAGTCTCCACTCGTGCGCGGACAGGGAAGCAGGGTGGGAGCTCCCGCGAGGCGGGGTCGATTTCGATTGGTTTTCGTCCCCTCCCTTCCCTGATCCAACACAACTCTTCTTCCTTGGCTTTAGCTGGCTTCTCCGTATTGTAAATGCCACTGCAAATTGGCCGTGGTTTCATAACCAAACAAACTTTGGGTCACGTATAAACAAGCAGGTGGAACAAGCGGGTCTAAGGGCACCGAGGGAAAAAAAGGTGGAGTCTGAGCTGAACAGTCAGTGCAGCTTCACCTGTTGTCCTGGGCTTTGTATCCAGAATAAATGAGGGCACTGCCCGGGCCACTGAGCAGCTACGGGAGAAACAAGCCCACATTTTAAACACATAGCTCTTATTTTTCAGTAAGATGTGCCTCGCGTTGGCTTTGGTATCCAGGTCTTCCCCAGTCTCGCACACCTGACGGCACGGGGTGCCCGGGACCGGCTTCCAGACCAATGAAGGAGTGATGACACTTTAGGCCAAACTTGTCAAAAGAAGATAAACGGGGAAGCAGCGTCAGAAGCCAGATTTCTAGGAAATTCCACCTGCCGACTGCAGCCCCTGCCCATGGGGTGCGCGCCCTGCAGGTCGCGGACCTGCCGGCCCCCGCGATGGCGAGTCAGCTCCTAGAAGGAGAGCTCTTCCCAGGTCTGTGTCCGTGTGTCTCCTGCTGGTTCTGTCTCTGGTAGAAGCCGGAGTCGTACATGACTCATTAACGTCTCATCTAACTGGTGTTTTCTACTAGCTTTTATCCTCGAGGTCTGCAAAATATTGGAAGGACAGAAGATGTCAGCTGGCGCTAATGAAAGACGACCCCACCAGTCCCCAAAGCAGACCTGTTCTCTTTATTTGACTGAACGCTATTTGAACATTTTCCCACCATCATTCTCAGGCTCGTCACTGGTCTCCCCCCGGGAGGCTGTGGAGCATTCAGCCCTCCCACTCACAGGGAAGCACAGAACCCGCTCCCGAGTGCAGAAGGCCTGTTTCAACCCCTTTCTCAGGAGCAGCTACGCCCACACCGCCTGGCAGTTTCCACCTTCTTTTCAATTAAAAAAAAAAAAAAAAAAAAAGCAAAATAGGATAAAGGGGTGGGGGAGCCTAATACAAAAAAATAGTTCAGGTCCAAAATTCCTTACCCTGAATTTCAAAATCTAGAAAGTTCCAAAAAATGAAAACTTTCCAAATACATCTACTGCAAACTATGGGTGGCAAAACCTGACCTAAATTTAGATGAGGTTGCTTCTCGTGTCTGTGTAGTTCACTGTGGGTGGGTATTCATGGTCTCACTGCAGAAATACTAATGTGTTTGATGAAAGGGAGCTGCCCAACTCTGATGGAAAAGCCTCATGAAACCCAGTTTATATGCACTGGTATTAATGTTCTAAAATCCAAATTCTGAAAAACATTTGGATGCAAGGGCTTCCTATAAGGGACTGTGGACCTGTATTTTTTCTTTTAAAGGAAGTCTAGAAAAAAACACAAAAACTCCACCTAGATCAACTACCACAAAAGCCAGACGGGGTGTTCTGTGTACATTTTAATATCCAAAAGCAATGAAACATATTCCAAGCGTCGAATCTGACTTTTAAAGCAGCAAGAACTTAAGAAAGTCCCAGACAGCTGGAGACCCAGCGTTTGGGTGGCCCCGGAACAGAGGATTCCAAGCCTGGTCTGCCGGATTTAGAAGACTTGTGCCTGAGGTGTAAAGACGAACATGTCCTACCTGTTAGGGCTCAAGTGTGAATTGGCCCCAGGCACACAGCCCTCCCCTGAGGCAAGGTCGGTATCAATCCAGCCTCTACCTAGAGAAGAACCATATTTAACGTAGTTCCAAATACATATGTATACCACATATGTCAACTAATTTTATTCCCTAGAAAGGCGAAATAAAATCAACTCTTAACAAAATCAGTGAGCACCTAATAAACCTAGTATATGTCAAGTACTTTATATTCAATCATAAGAAAAGGAACCTATTAAAATTCCACTATAAAATATATAGGAAAGTTCTACCCTAATATTTCCAATAAACGCACAAATACACACAGGTCAGAACTTCATATAGGAAGATATTGTTTGGTTTTCAAGGAACTGTTTCTCAGGAAGTAATACCAGCTACAATGATTTCATATGTACATTTGCTTTATTAAAATTGTGGCACTTAATATAATAGCAGAAATGATCACACGGCTTCACATCCAGAAGCAATACA